CAGATACTTTCGGATTCCGCGAGATTCTAGCGATAGTTGACCGAAATCTTATTAGAATTACAGCAGAAGTGCACCAGAGTAGGCGGATTCGTAGAGAGGATCTAATTTTGAACTGTTGTCGATCTACTCTCGCATTCTACCCGAATTATAAAATTATCTGGCAGAATTACGAGAGACTTGCACTAGTATCTGGGAGCTGATAGAGGGGATGTGATGTAATTGTGAACTTATATTTATGTACTGTCTGATGCTAGGAGTCGCGATACTTTGCATTCTGCTGAGTTGTGGAATCCGGACTGTACTATTTAACTTGACAGCACTCTTGATTCTGGGAGAATCCGAGAGTGTACATGGGGAAACTGAGGCCGAAGCTGGGCACGACTGCAGATTCGGGAGCACTTCTGCTGTAATTCTGCGAGGTTCTGGTCAGATTCTCGTACAATTAGAAAGTATACAGGTATCATTGCACATTTAGATCCTCTCTAGGAGTTGGGAAATTCTCGTGCAATTCTGCCGTAATTCGGCGATATTCTGGTCCAATGCTTGTCCCACTCTCGTAGAATCAGGAAGTATACACACATCACACATTGAGAACCTCTCGACGACCTGGCAGATTGTGTTGCAATTCTGCCAGATACTGGTCCAGTTCTGGTCGGATTCTCATAGAATAAGAGAATATATAGCTTTCAGGACAGAGTTTGATGCTCTTTACGAACTGGAAGATTCTGCAGCAATTCTGCTGTAATTCTGCCAGATACTGGTCCATTTCTGGTCAGATTCCCGTGGAATGACCAAGTATACAGACATCAGTACACATTCACATATTCTGGTAGTATTAGAAGTACACAGACGTCCGTACAAATTAGGAACCTCTCTATGAACTGGCATATTCTCGCGCAATTCTGGTGCAATTCTGCCAGATTGCGGTCCATCTCTGGTTAGATTCTGGTAGAATCGGAAGTATACATACATCAGTACAAATTTCGATCCTCTCTACGAACCGACTGTCAAACTGTTTTGCCACCATCTGAGTGTGAAACAGAATATAGTGGATTCTGGTTGACTTCTGGTAGAATTGCAGCAGATTCTGCCAGAATCACAGCAGAATTGAGCAGAATCTGCCGATTCGTAGAGAGTATCTGTGTGTGAAACAGAATATAGTGGATTCTGGTTGATTTCTGGTAGAATTGCAGCAGATTCTGTCAGAATCACAGCAAAATTGAGCAGAATCTGCCAATTCGTAGAGGGTATCTGGGTCTGAAAGAGAGTATGGTAGATTCGGAGTGAGTGCTAGTAGAATTGTGCGAGATTCTTCAGATGCACTGCGGGATCTTAGAGATTGTGTCAGTGGCAGGTTGTTGATTTTGAATTCTGCTGGAGTTCTGGAATTTCCACGGAACTGTGGAAGTTGACACCACTCGTTAACTTATTTGATGACAACAACAACAGTTTAACAAACGTCACTATTCTAGCAAACAAGTCTATAGCGAGTAGTGAATTAGAATTTTAACGAATAACACTTGTAAATGAAAAAAAATGAGCACCGTAAACCAAATTTTGCTTGAGGGAAGCATTTTGAAGGAAAAACGTGGCTACAAAAGTTGTTCAGATTACCTGGAATAAGAATGCAGGATTTTTCAAAATTCGTTAAACTGGGTTTTTTTAATTGAATTTTACGAAATCTTAAAATTAAAAATAAAAAGCCTAATCAAATGCAAAGGCAGATCAAATAATTCTCGACTAAGCTCAAAATATTTCCCAGATTCCAAAGATACACTCTCAGATTAATAACTAAACGATGCTACTTAAAATTATTTTAACATCGTATTCAGAGAGAGCGCAATATGCTGATTGTAACTATTATAAAATCATGATTCATACAGGCCAAAATGAAAGAATATTTTGTGCAAAAACTTTTGTGCCAGTTCACTTTAACAATATGATTCTCATTACAACTAGTTACGCTTGTAACAAAAAATAATTTCCAGACCGAAATAAAATTTATGTCAGTCTGCATTGTTCGATTATATAGAAGGTTTGAACTTTGCTTTAGACGTATAGAAATTCAATTTGTTTTTATCTTTGATAAAAACTTCTAGATGCATATATTAAATGCTTTTCGTTTTTCGTCCGATCATTTTAATGTTATTTAATACTTTAACAAAGAAAAGAAACATAAGATATAATCATTGATGGTCTAGCATTAAAACTACATCACAGATCATAACAATATTGATTATGAATACATACAACATTTTATCATCTGACATGTTACAACTCAATGCAGACGAAGATTCACATCGCGTTTATCTGAAGAAAATCAGTACTGATAAAAGGGTTATAATACTATTACTCTTCATATTATTTATTCAAATCATGTTAACAATATGGACTTCAAAATTTTACATAAATATTTTTGTTATATTTAGCCTGTTTTTATTAATTCTGTCAACATTTATACTTACTATTTCTCTATCATACTTGCGAGAAAAGAGAGAAAATACCAGAGAAATTTTTTCGTGTGTGTACTTAATTATTATATGTATCATTTACAGTTTTATTATATCGTTATTCCTAGTTGGATGGTTCAATAATCGTAACAGTATATGCAATTCAAAATGCCAAATCACACATGGGCAGAATTTACCTAATATTTCGTCAGTAGTTCAAGAGCAAGAAGAACCAGGTAATGTTCTAACGTCAGACAAAAGTTTTTTTTACAGACCGAGAAGACACTAAAACTTATGTTCGTGACTTGAACTCCAGCTATTATTTTGTTCAACGAAGCTAAATGCACTTTTTTGCAATGTTTTTCGTGCTTTCCATTACTTTCACCAAAAGAATTTGCATTCCGCTTCGTATCGTTCTCGAAATATGGGTTATACAATGTGAAGAAAATTCAAAGTTTTCGGCGTTATCTGGCGAAGAAAAGTCGATTTTGTCTCAGTGACACTCTTATATCCTTTATTATAGGTAAACTATTGTGCAGTCACTGCACTAACGTTCTAAAACAACCCTACGAATATACGAAGTACGAGCATGGTATTCGACAGCGTTTCAACATATGAGAGAGAAAAGAGCTGCTCCGATTACATTCGACTAATTTTGCATTTTTGTAAGACAACATATAATAAACATAATCAAGAGCAGATCTGTTTTCAAGACACGTTTTACTACGTTAAAAAAGACAACAATTCTTATCTTACGTTAGGGAGGGTTTTTTGCGATACTTAACGTGAATCAAAGTAGATGTGAACGGATGAGCCTGAGAGATTCAGCTGAACCATATTTGTTCTGAAAATTTTTGTTGTTTGACAACAGTATTCGATGAACAGAGTATTCGGTGAATACTCAAACAATCCCTGCTTAAACTGAATGGACTGAAGTAACTGAAATCAAAAAATATTTGCTATCGGCACAAAACGCTCGTGTTTCTGCAAACCCTTAAAAAATGACTGGACTCAAACCTGACAATACAACTGTTGCAACAGTTTTAGAGAATAGTTCACAGCATTGAGTTGGTTTCGGGAGAAAACTGCAGGAGATAGGAATATTCCATGGTAAAGCTGTAAAGATTAGTCATATATGCTAGAAACAGCCACAGTGGCTGAAATGCGAGACTTATAAAATCTAATGTTTAGCCGCATAAAGTTTTGAGAAGAATGGCAAACTAATTTGCCCTTACCTTTGTGTATTTGCAAAGGTATTTCATGTTTCAATGTCAACGATTACCTTCTCTCTTCGCTGTATTCTTTCAGGACTTGTTCATGAAATCATTAATTCCAAAACACCGAAACCAGTAAAATTTGATGGTACCATTGGACTTTTGAATGCAAACTGTAACGTTACAAATGATGGTGAAACACTGGAAATATTAACAAAAAATTCTGAAGGTGCTTGTTCAGTTTCATTTAAACAATTAAATTTATCTGAAAAAAAATCGTTATTAAACCAAACATTAAGTTTTAAAATTGAATTTTTATCAACACCTACACATAATGACGTTGGCCGTCATGGTGGTATCTATTATGGTGAAAGTAATTATAAACGTTTTACGCATGATGGGAATACAATTGTTGAATGGATTGATCGTAATTGGGATCGTGGTTACCATGTGTATGAAAAAGTTGAAACAGAAGCTGAACGAATTGAAAAGCGACTTCTACCGTTGAATAATGAACCAGCAGAACATTGGAAAATTACAATTCTTGAGAATGGAGAAGAGTTATTTGAATGGGGTGATGATCTTAAAAAAATAATTAAAACTGAAGCACAAATACAGTTACTTAATAAACCATATTTAGGATTTTGGGCATACGATTTTAATCATATCAAAATTTCAAATTTTATAATTCAACCCTACAACAGTAAGCATATCTTCTTTTCGATGAAACTTTCCAAAGCACTTGGAACTTTCGAACTTTTTTAAGAACACATTAGACAAATCTTAAAGCTGAACTAGAAAAGGCCCACGAGGAAACACAAACTCTTATGGATAAAATTGAGTAATTTTTATGAGAAAATTCTGATTCGGATAGTTACAGCGGAGCTTTATCGTATACAATAACGTGCATGCTGTTCTTGTTTTATTAGGATCGGATGATGACGAGCATGGTATCTAGAACTGAAACGTTTGAATTATATTAATCGTCGTACTTCGGCAATTTTCTATATTGTAGTTTTGAATCTTTGTTTTGGCTTTTTGTTTATTTAATACAATCTTTTCCACCAGTATTGTCTGCGCTGTCGCAACTGCAAGCAGAAAAACAGCACTAGTAAACAAGCTTTTACGTTTCGCCAACACAGAAATTTTTACGTCTTTGTATACGGTTTTAAGGGTGTCCCACTTCCTGAGCGGAATGTCTTTCTAGTTTTAGCGTTAAAACACGGCATTATAGCATAACGATCTCTCCCAACTTTCCGGAATCTTCTCTCAAGCAATCAGTCAATTTGTTTGAGTTGGAATCTCGAAAATGTCATTTTCAATAATTTTCCAGATTAATCAAACTGTTTGGAGATATGTCGAATTGAGCGAATTTTTCTAGAAAAGTAACTATGTCAAATCAAATGAAATCAGTCGCTTTTGTGTGGTTTGGTTCAACCAATCTTTAAAGTTCATTACAGGTGGAAAATTTTGCATGATGATGGTGTTGCAGAATATTATGTATTAAACAGAAAGATGAAAATATTAAGCTAACATACGAGACAGACAAAACAGCTAATTATCTTGATGTGACTATCTTTGCATGAGTACCCCGCTGTCGGACCATCACATATAGAAAATCAGCAGCCCAACCCTATTTATTACCATTTAGTAGCTCTCATCCTATGCATATCAAACGAAATATACCGTACTCTGCATATATACGAGCAATTCACAGGTGTTCTGATGCATCAGACGGAGTACAAGAATTAAATATTGCCTTCCCCTAAACCAATATCCTCCAGAATTCATTGACGCACAAGTTAAACGCATACTGCGACATTTAAAACTATCTACCCTCGACTAACTCTTTCAGAGCTACGTAAAAGTTCGAAAGCAACTCTTTCGTACTGACTGGAAATAGCATGAGAATGATTCATTCGTAATGTTAGTAAAAAAAAATATTTGAAACATTTATGAAACAGCCATCAAAATATGAAGATCTCATTAGAATGCATAAACTTTCATCCACCTATAATTGGTATCCAATTGCCGAGAGATTAATATTAGATTCTGCGAATTCTTCGTTGGCAAGTAAGCAAAAACAATCAGACCTTTTAGAACTACATTTAAGTATCAAATATTTCTTTTTTTAAGGTTTAGACGAATACCGCACATCTTGTGTTATTAGTCATATACAATCATTCACAACATCATATCGATCGTTGTTGGTGAAATTATTACCAACAACAGATGCTTTCCTACTTCACTGTAAACGGGCTGCGGTACAAGTTAGCACCTGGTTTGAAGCAACCCATACTCAAATAATTTATCCAGATTTGTTAAATAACGGTTACAAATTAATCGATGGGAAAATTCAGATTTTATGGAGAACAAAAGATGCTCTACCAAGCTTACCATCGTTCGCGACGTGTGGTTGAATCACTGGCTGTAGTACCAAAAGATGTAAATGCTTTTCGTAAGCCACTGTTTATTGTACTACATTATGTAAATGCAAAAACTGCGCAAACAAACAAAGATCGACACAATCAATGCCCGGGCCGGCATTGATTCAGAAAAAAGCCTAAATGCTAGAATCATCGTCCGTGTTTGCAAATCTTTTTTTTCTTCTTTTGTAGTCAAAAACAACAAAAACCCAGAGATTGTTTAGGGATAATAGATTCATGTCCATCACGTATGCACCCAGGTATGTGGGTCTATGAAGTCTTCAAAAATTGTAACATCTGTCGAGATCTGGGTAAATTAACTCAGAAATAACTAAAATTAGTCAAAGCAAACCACTGTTGACTTGGTTTGACTTCAGCAGTAAGCGTTCTAGTTTTTGCAGTTTTGATCCGTCCGCTACAGTATGAAAATGTGCTTCCTTCTCAAATTTAATGTCCATTTTGCCATTACGATGGATGCTGAGCCTCCATGCTCAGATCATAAGGAAACATTTATTATGCAGAAAAATTATGTTTTGCTGAAATATCAAGCTTAGAAACCCTTTTTGAAGAAGAATAAATAAAAGATTCATTTTAAACGTGCAGCCACGTAAATTAAAAGTTTAGTACGTACGTTTATCCCACAAACTTGTATTGATATCTAAATGAACGGATGTGTCGACGTCGGTCGTGGTTACTTGACCACTTGATACAGGTGTGCTAGTGGTTGTTAGATTTAATAATGCTTGAATATCACATTCAACATCAGAGTCTACATTTTGTAGGATTTTTCTTTGATCACATTACTTCGATCAAGAGGATGTAACCCGGTTTTCATAACGCCTACGAAAGAAGAATGATTTGAACATGACACAGTGGAAGGAGCATGACGTACCTAGCACAATATTTGATTTCTTAATCGCTCCTTTTTCAAATAATTGAGCTAGTAAACCCGAAAATTAATCTTTGTTCACAGATTTATCTGAATCTTGATTGCTTGCTAATATTTGTTTCCACTTGTCCTTTACGGGTTTAAACACAACAACATCTAATGGCTGTAAAATGTGCGTGGTATGTGGTGGTAAAGCGAGGAGAATAACTTCATGTTCTATTGCTGCCTGGATTAGTCTAACACTTCTATGAGAAGCATGGCCATCCAGTAACAATAGCAACGGTCGTGGAATATTTTTTGTATGTTTAAGAAATAATTCCATAAACCACTGGAAAAACGTTT